ACGGACGGACGGACTTGACGAAACTACAAGGATTCCTCGTTGTGTGACTACGGAACCCTAAACAACACTTTAATATTGTTACGCGCTAAAGTCGACGATCAACTAGCGCCATCTAGTGTCAGGAACGAGAGCGAGGGGAGCATTGAGAAAATGACATCACAAATCACTCAACTGACAGCGCCTAGTCGAAACTCGAACGCTCGATACCTTCCGCGTGTTTACTTGAACATTCTGGATATTTCTTTGCTAATTTAAATATATAGGCGCTGCAAGATGCGAGGGAAGCAGTGTTGATTTGGGCGAAACAAGCGAAGCTTCGGAGTGGAATTAAGTGAATTAGTGTGTTTAAATTATTAGTGTTTTAACTTTAATTGTGTAAAGTAAATTAAAGTGTTAATTTAGGTAATTTTATCGGCAATTTTTATTGTCACGAACCTCAAGCTCGTAACAATTGGTGTCAGAAGTGGGATCAAATCATGCCGATTTTACCTAAGGAAGAAACGGAGGGTGTCCGTACCCGCAGTCAACGCCAGCATGAGACGGACCAGCGGAGATTTGGTGGTGCAACGGCGCAGATGTCGGAGGGCCAACTGCCAGCCACGGAGGCTGCGGGCCCGTCATTAGCTCCTACATCTGCAGCACCTGACTTAGGTGCTCTGATGGCGATGCTACAGGAGCAGCTGCAGCGCGGACGAGAGGAACAGGCCCGTCTGTTGAAAGAGCAGCAGGAGGAACAGGCTCGCCGACAGGAGGAACAGACCCGCCGACAGGAGGAACAGGCCCGCCGACAGGAGGAACAGGTCCGTCAGTTGAAAGAGCAGCTGCAGAGCGGACGAGAGGAACAGGCCCGTCAGCAGGCGGAACAGGCTCGTCGGTCGGAAGAGCAGATGCTCCTCATGAAGGACCTTCACGCTACCTTTGGGAAAGAGATAAGGGACGTGAAGGATAGGGTTGCTCAACACGACAACCGCCTGTCGGAAGCTGAAACCCGAATCGAAGAATATGAAACCCGAATCAACCATGTGAACAATCGGGTTGACAACGTGATGGCTGACGTGAAGAAAACGCTAAACGACCTCAAACTTGCGGATGGAACTACAGCTCCCGTAGTAGCTGCAGCACCTTCGCTACGTGGATTCAAAGTGCCGCCGTTCGACGGGACCTCTTCCTGGTCGGCCTACAAAATGCAGTTCGAGGCCGTCATGGAGGTGAACGGCTGGAATAAAAGCCAAGCCATGACTGCACTCACCCTAGGCCTGCGCGACCAAGCCTTAACTGTGTTGGAAGCTCTCGGTAAGAAAGTGACCTATGAGCAGCTTCTTGAGGCCTTGGAAGCGAGATATGGCGACGCTCATTTGGAACACGTCTTTCGCGCGCAGCTTAAAGATCGCGTGCAGCGCAGCAACGAGAACCTGCAGCAGTGGGCCCTTGAGGTGGAGAAGATGGTTCGAAAAGCATACCAGTCTGTACCTGCGCTCATTGAAGGGAACCTGGTTCAGACATTCATCGACGGCATCCGCGACCTTGAAGTCAGAGCTGCTGTGAGACTCGGGCACCACGACACGCTTAAGAACGCCTTGGCCCATGCACTGGAGGTGGAAGCCGTGCGGCAGGATCATCGTTCCCATAGCGTCAGGAAGTTTGCTGCAGCTACAGTCCGTGACCGCAGCAAAGGATACAGCCCTAGGTGCCATGGCTGTGGGGAAAAGGGCCATCTTCGATCCAGCTGCCCTAAACGAACCGTGGAAAGGAGAGTTGATCGATCTCGAGAGGGTAGTGCAGCTAACGGCACTGCCTGGCGGCGACAGGATCATCGTTCACCTCACGCTAGGGAGGTTACAGCAGTTACGGTTCGCGACCACAATAAAAGATACAGCCCTAGGTGCTATGGCTGTGGGGAAAGGGGCCATCTTCGGTCCAGCTGCCCTAAGCACACCCTAGGAAGGGAAGGTGAACGGTCTCAGAAAGGAAGTGCGGCTAACAGCACCGCCCAGCAGCAGCAGGAATACGACTTTACTATCAGACACTGCAGCGGGAAATCTCACGGCAACGCAGATGCATTGTCAAGAAGACCTTGTCCTGAAGATTGCAACCATTGTAGTAGGCAAGAGAGTAAGGAGGTGGTATCCGTGAGGATGCTCAGGACGGACCACCTCAGCAACGAATGGAAGGACAACCTACGACATGCACAGCAGGAAGATCCGGACATCAAGCCGATTCTGGGATGGATGAAGGCCCGTGCTACCAAGCCTAAGTGGAGGGACGTCTCAGCGATGAGTTCAACCACGAAAAGCTATTGGGCCCAATGGGACAGCTTGCTGATTCAGGATGGAGTCCTGTGCCGTAAATGGGACAATGGTCGAAGAGACAGCTGTCGTTTGCAAATGGTTGTCCCTAAAGCTAAAGTGCCGAATGTTCTACAGTTGTGCCATAATGGTCGTTCAAGAGTCCATCTGGGAGTTAAACGAACTCTACTGAAGGTCCGAGAACAGTTTTACTGGGTCCATTATCGTGACGATGTCGAGGATTGGTGTCGTACATGTACAAGTTGTGCGGCCGTGCGGGGACCTCGGACACGTAGTAGAGGAGCACCGAAATTGTACAATGTTGGTGCACCACGGGATAGGACAGCCCTTGACATTGCGGAGCCGTTACAGAAAGGCGCAAGAGGGACTCCTAAGATCGTCCATGTGAATCGCCTGGCGCGTTATTATGGGGCCGATAATGCTCGGGACGAGCATGTCTTAGGAGGGGGCAGTGTTACGCGCTAAAGTCGACGATCAACTAGCGCCATCTAGTGTCAGGAACGAGAGCGAGGGGAGCATTGAGAAAATGACATCACAAATCACTCAACTGACAGCGCCTAGTCGAAACTCGAACGCTCGATACCTTCCGCGTGTTTACTTGAACATTCTGGATATTTCTTTGCTAATTTAAATATATAGGCGCTGCAAGATGCGAGGGAAGCAGTGTTGATTTGGGCGAAACAAGCGAAGCTTCGGAGTGGAATTAAGTGAATTAGTGTGTTTAAATTATTAGTGTTTTAACTTTAATTGTGTAAAGTAAATTAAAGTGTTAATTTAGGTAATTTTATCGGCAATTTTTATTGTCACGAACCTCAAGCTCGTAACAATATATTGAATAAAACTAATTTTACGGATTTATGACAATTAACTTTTTTAATTATCCATGGTCACAGGGTGGACTGAGGTTTTTGACGTCCTTATTTCATAGTTAATAGAGTAGAAATTAAATGTCATAAAATTTACAAAATTAGTTTTATACAATGTCTGTTATATGCGAAAATTTTGGAAATCATTAAGTCCGATTTAATCAAACATTCGTTGTAATTATTGCTATAAAAATCAAATTTACTTTCAGTTGCTGGCAAGAACGAAATTTAGCTGGGGTGATAAAACTAAAAGTCTTCGAAGACACGCGTTCTAAATACGGAAGGCGACTGATGTTGGTTGGATTGTTTGTCTTTTTGTGCGTCATACTGAGATTAATAGAAAAACTGTATGCCTACCAGATGCGTCGAAGCACACAATAACATAGAAAAATACATGATAACTAAATATTTATAAATTTTGTCGTATTTATAAGTCTTTGAATATTCATCTTCTGAAGATTATCTCAATGTAGTTGAAAACTGGTATATGTGGTAGAGCCATGATGCAGGTACATTACGGTCGCTAGCCGACGTATTCGTGTTACAGAATGGGTCGGCTCGATCGGGGAAGGACCATGCACTAACAGAATTCCAGTGTGAAATAGCAGCTTTTTTATTATTTTAAGGCAGTGCTTAACTACAATACTTATCTAATGCTAAGTGGTGATGTAGCCTAAGATGGTGAACTGCACTGACTTAACAAAAGCCTATTCACTCTTTGCCTCGAAGACACCCACACTGTAATCAGATGGAAGGACAGATGCTGGCAACTTATTCCATTGCTTTGCTGTATGTGTTTCGCACGGCGAGTGTAAAGAAATGGGCACTCTATTTACTGTATCGAGACAATATATCTTAGTGTTCAGAGATGATAACCCATCTGTATATTGGTCCTTAATAGTGTTACGAGCTTAGGGTTTAGGGATTACCAAAATTGACACTTTAATTACCGACAGCAATTAAAACTTAAAACAGTGTAATAATTTATCACACTTAACACTTCAACTCACTTTATTTCGCTCCGAAAGTGTCGCCAGTTCAATACTGCCCCGGTCGCGGCCCTAAACGGCTTTATATAGGCCTTTTCCACCGAAACATATAGAATGTTCCAGCAAATACCGGTACCGATTGACTAAATGTAAAAAATTCGAGTGTGGAGTTTTCTAGAAAGCTTAGATCTTCTATTCGATACTACATGGCGCTAGTGGGAGTTCTAGAAAAATTTGACGCTCCTATTTCTGCTGCTTGATACTAGATGACGCTAATAATCACCCGCCATATACCGGGCGCTAATTATAGCGCGAAACAATAGATTATAGATATGAATGTCTATAGGTCGCAGTATGTAATTGCCAGCGGGTGTATTGTTAATTATTTGTCGCTTATGCTATAAAAAACTAATATAATTTAAAAAGTCCAGTGATTAGTGAGATTTGTACTTCGCATTATATACAACCTATAATAGTCAAATGCTAAACATAAGCCTTTCTTATAGATTGCTCCATAGGATAAACTATTTCAAAATCTTCCGTATGAGGATATCAATGGGGAGCCCTCTGTTCACCAATGGACTGTTACAGGTTATTACAACATATAACAGTCCACTGGTATGTATGTACGGAACTTACCATTGTCACGCGACTTAACGTTTATTTCATTAATTTCTACAGTGTTCTATTAGCTTTAACAATTGTAGAAAGTTGAATCGGTTAACCGTGCAGGTGTAAAGCAAACTTGTAGGTCGTTCATTGATTTGCTGCGGAGAAATTCTAAATATGGACAGTTTAGTGGTTTAAACGAGGAAGTAAATTGTAACAGTGAATGGTACCTGTTCGGGCGGCTGCAGCAGTGCTGCTGGGAGCGTGGGCGGCGGCGGGACCCCGCGCGTGGCGCGCTGCACCAGCCACATGGCGGCCGCGAACTGATCTCTCGTCAGCTTGCCCACGCCGCCGCTGTCGCACAGCGCCCTGCGCGACAACATCTCGCACTTTTAATCTAACATACGTTGTAGAGCCACGCTGGAGCAATATTATGATTGTAGCACGAATAGGTCGGCTCGAACAAGGCAGGACCAGGCTCTCACAGAATACCAGCGTAAAATAGCAGCTTACTGCTGCTGTTTCGTATAGTGAGTGTAAAGATTCGGAGACCTTTTTTTTTACTGGAAACGACGCATTCCATCTTACTCCTTAAGGGTTGGCAACGCATCTGCGTTTTGATTCTTAATCGAGGATAAGTGAAGATGTCTATAGGCCCAGCATCCACTTACTATCAGATGGACTGTGTGCTCGTTAGGCATCCTTATTCTATAAAAAACACCAAACTATCATAAAACAACAAGTAAAACAAAATTAAAGACTTACATACCACATTATATTATTTACTTATTACATATACCGTATCATCCCGTAGATGTTATAACAGACGACAGATAGAAACAAATCAGATGACGGGACAACGTCTTGCTAATAATGACCTAAAATAAAAATACTATGCTTGCCAATCCAATTGCTTAGCGTGAAAGCTATCACAAATATACCTCATATAAGTCAATCCATGAGGAAGGCCTATCTTTATTAAGCAGCGGACTTTGCTATAATAATAACGGAACTCTTGCAAGTGAGACTATATGAAAAAATATAAAAATGAATAATATCCTTCAATAGACAATGGTATAACCGTTTCATATATACATACCACTAGCTTGCCAGGCAGACGTTGTTCTGCCCTTTTCGACGACCCTTTATCATGTCCTATTAGAAATCCTTAAATTAGTTTTAAAAAAATTGTGGGACACTCATTGCCAAAAAGAACTATCCTACCTCTCAAGTTAGACCAAACTGCACACGGTGGGCAAATTTGATTAATATCGGTTAAGTAGTTCAGGAGTCCATCGCGGACAAACAACGTGACACGTAATTATATATATATATATATATTAACCTAGCTCGCGAGACAGACATTGTTCTGCTCTTTTCGACGACCCTTTGTCACGTCTTATTAAAAAACTTTAAATTCGCAAAAAAAAAAAATTATGTTCACTCATGGGTAAAAAAAAACTATCCTATCTCTCAAGTTGGACCAAACTGCACGTAATTTATATATATTAAGATATAAAGATATATTATATAAAACGCCTTTTTACGATATTACGATGTCTGCCGCTATTCTTCATACTAAAATAATGAAAGAAATAACACTAAAGAAACAAAAAACGCATGCAGTTCACACGTGATTAAAGTGACACCTTCAGAAATACACTGGATACTGTATTCTGTCTCAATCGCGCGAAGGCTAAATCCTATAGACATACATATATACGTTTGTCCCCTTATAGTGTCGCTTATTCATTTCATAGAGGTTCACAACGACTCAAGAAGTTTTCACTTTAAAAAAAAACACTAAGCGAGCAGTTTTCACATCAATGTAAATAAAGAAGAACTCAGTTTTGCCGCAAGATTAAATATATAAGCGCTCCACTGAAACTTAGAATCTTTAAATTTTAGTGTATTGAATAAATAGAATATTTTATTTCGAGTAAAATTGCTTTGTAACAGCTACATCTATTTTATTCTATAGCTAACGTCATTTTTAGACCAAAATTGATTGCACACTCAAGCTTGTCCATAAAATAGACACTACAAGGCTTAAACACGAATAACTTAATATAATTCAGTAAGATATGAAATCGTGGATTTTTAGGAATGGTTTGGATATGATAACTTTATTCAATATTTATTTTACAATTATTTATAACAGTTAAAAGTTATATTAACCATATTTAAAGCACTCAGAGGACAACGAAAACACTGTACTAGCTTTGCCCCGTAGTTTCCACGTATATCACGCGTCTGAGCCGTGCGACATGACACCACATGCGTTCACTGTTGGTTTCTCTCGGTTCTAAGTTGCTAGGCCTTGTTCGAGCACCTAGCCGAATGTTGAATTATTTTAATTTACATTATCTCTTAAACTATGCGACCAAATAACATGCTACACAGAGCAAAATTTACCTTCATAAAATTGTCTTCATGATGAAGTAACTATATTCATAAGGATTAATATGACATGACGCGTAAACTAAAATGAAGGAAGAAGAAAGGAGCCCAGTATAGTACCTTGCGGTACACCCATTTGAACAAATGATCCGACTTATTTCATTCCATTGGTTTCAACCTTTTGAATGCGACCACACAAATATGATCTAATGAGTACAAGAGATGTATCCTTTATTCCGCAGTGAGACAGCTTACATAAGAGAATTTCATGATCAGCATAATCAAAAGTATTGGAAAGAACATAGAAAATACCAAAATTGATGTGATCCTTATGGCAGTTCCCACGGTCATCGGTTACGTTATCGTTGTGACGACATGGGGTGAGAGATTATCTTATATCGCCATGCATATTTTGTAATTTCTTGGGTGTCCAGTAGTTTTGGTACGTAGGCGTATTTTGTCGACGTATCAGAAACAAGAATGTCAGAAACCGAGACCCTTATCTAAGCTGGACTTTAGAACTTACCAAATATGGGCAAGAGTCTGTTGAGGCAGGCCACTACGTAGGAAGGTGTCCCGAATCTCCGCACCAGAAACGAGCCCGTCGCGGTCCAGATCAGCCGCTTCGAACTGAGCGTCGTACTGCGCCCTCTCACTCGCAGTTGGACCTAGGGTTGAACTGTTCGCCGAGCCGCTCATCGTACTGTTGGTCAAGCCGCTCGACATACTGTTGGGAACGCTGGGTGGCGTCGCCGTGGGCGGCTGTAACGCAATCGAAAAATTAAAGTTGATGTTATTAAAATTAAAAAAAAAACTTATTTCAATAAGAGATTGCTGATTATCTATCTATACATATAAATAAAATAAAAGTGTTCGTAAGTTAAGTTGTTGTTGTGGTAAGAGTAAGTAAGTTTGTAAGTTTGTAAGTTTCCCGGCTTGCAAGCTAAGCTTAAAAATGGTCTACTAAATACTGACAAATGCCACGACATACGACGTTTTACGAGAAGAAAAAAATCATTAAGTTTTAAAAAAGAGTTAGTAATAGTCCTTGGGGTCCATAGTACTCTAAATTGAAGTTCAGTTTCCATATCGGCAAAACTGTCAGTGTTTTAAAACTCTAGGCTTTTTCTTCGTAAATTGTAAAGAAATTAAGCAGACAATTTCAGAATTTCTATTTTATAATTGTTATATAAGTTTGACTTTAGAATGTGGCGGCGCTGTCGTCGCGCTACAAGCGAAACAACACACCGAAGCCTAAATCACGCTATCGAAAATTCCGAATCATAAACAGTATATATAGAACATCTCCGAACTATCACACGGAGCGTTGGCCGCTCCCCGGGCAGAACACCTTGCCCGACGGGAGATCTCCCCTTTTCTTTCTACGGCCACAAGAATATTTCAGAATCATTTGGCCATCTCTGTATGAAATTCATAAGAAAAAAATCGAAATACAAAAACGTTTTATATGACATGTTTTTCATTTTAACAAATCTAAAGAACTGCACTCTCACCATGGTCGACGTAAACACGATAATCTTATCTCATTGGAGGATCGTAGACTATTGAGGAATTCCATATTATTGCACACGCTGGTAGAAGGTGTACTTGACTGTCCTCAACTCCTTCGCCTAGTGAATTTCCATACCTCCCGATAAGTTTGACGTATATCTACACGTTAATAGAAGCAAACATTTCATAAGTATTTTGAGATCTTTTTCCTATGTAAATCGTTTGCAAACGCAGAACAATTTAATTAACAAAGTATTAGATATTGATTTAGCACTTAGTCCCGGAAAATTTAAACGGAAAGATTGATCTTATCTATATTCTAAAAATAGATAATCATAGAAATAACTATGGAAATATCTTTTTGAATTTGAAATAGTTATATTGTTTAATCAGGAAGGATAATGTATCCATTGCAGATGAATGATATATTATAACATTCAACTAAATTTGTCGGTATGATACGGGCGCCATCTACTGTAAGTTGACAAGCATTAAGTTGACAATGTTTTACAGCGCATAAAATACGAACAAGCAAACATTAATTTCTATATATTAGATGAAGTCACAATTATTCACTATCGAGGACAATTTAGTCAGTCTAGACAGGCTAGTCTGTTTAGTTCCCTTCATTGACAATTTTTCTTATTTTTGTTAAATTTATTTGTATGTTCATTTTTTGCTATTTTTACCTAGCCATGGTAACCTACTATATTATATAGCTTGTTTACATGTGTCGTTCTAAGATTGTTTTATTACAATTTGTAAAGCTTATATCTTTATGGTGCCTAAATAAATAAATGAATAAATAATAGATAGCAGTATTTGTATGCTTACGGAAGAAAGGTCGAGCAGTCCCTCCAGCAGCATGGCGTTGGAGGTGTGCTGCGGCGGGTGGGCGGGGTGCGGCGGCTGCGGGCGCGGCGGCCGCGGCTGCGGCGAGGGCGGGCGGGACGGCGGCCGCGAGGGTGGGCGCGACGGGGGGCGAGACGGCGGACGAGCGGGCTTCGCGCGCAGCTCCGGCGGCAGGCACGTGGGCACCGCGTGTTTCTCTAGCGCCTTGTACACCAGGTGCATGGCCTGCACGACAAGCAAACACGCAATTGATCTATCCAGTACAGCCTATAGAAGTCCCCTGCTAAATGCCTCTCTGAGGCCTCTATTCCTCATATGAAAGATTTTGCCATAATTGCCACGTTTTGCATGCGGATGCATTAAGAGTACCGTTTGCTTCTTCTTGTGTAAAAAATAATCTGTTCTACCGTGCAGGGCGCATTGTCTAATTCAGAGTACCTTTTTATAGGACAGACTGAAGTAAGTTTAAGCCCACGGGCTCTAACGCATGTTGCAAACATTAGTGTCGGCTCTCTCCAAATACGTAGTACATATTACTTCAATTATAAATAGATACCAACATCAATAAGATACTAGTACGTTCCAAGTGCAGGCGGGAAAACGGACAAGAAAATAAACTGTAGGGATAACCAAACTTTTTTGTCATTTGCCCATTATTTTATTTATTATCCTCACAAGTTGGTTATGCAATGGGACTTTGTTCCAAGTTATTATAAAGATTTAGTCAGTACGGTCGGAAAAAAATAATAAAATAGTTTATTAAATATTAATACAGTATAATCTCAGTAATCCAGCACTATTAAAAACCAGAGGGTGCCGGACTATTGGAATGTTCGGATTACTGGATTATAGAGAAAAAATCATATAGAATAAAATAAAGCATTTCATAGAGAGAATACATAATGTAATTAAATAGTTTTAAAATAATCCTTGAGGTCTGCTTTTGTGCAACTTGTAATCGTTACTTAAAAACCTTTTCTCGCATGTTTCGAAGAATTTTAATATCTTTAGGACATATGTGTAAAGTGTACAACCAGTGCGTGTTGCCAGTGATGACTTACAGATCAGAGACGTGGTCCTTCACTGCTGGCCGTATGAGGACGCTCAAGGTCGCTCAGCGAGCTATGGAGAGGGCTATGCTCGGAGTTTCTCTGCGTGATAGACTCAGAAATGAGGATATCCGCAGTAAAACCAGAGTGACCGACATAGCCCAACGGATTAGTAAGCTGAAGTGGCAATGGGCCGGCCATATAGCTCGAAGAACCGATAACTGATGGGGAAGAAAGGTTCTCGAGTGGCAGCCTCGTACCGGTAGGAGTAGTGTAGGGCAACCCCCCACTAGATAGAGTGACGACCTGGTAAGACATGCAGGAAGTCGATGGATGCAGGTGGCTCAGGACCGTGCTTTGCGGCATTGCTTGGGGGAGGCCTATGTTCAGCAGTGGACTTGTGAAGGGCTGTAATGATAATGATGATGATGATTAGCAGATATGCCGTTTTCTTCTGCCCATGTTATGCAGGTATTGGAAACAATCAATGCTTCATCTGGTTTAACTCTTACATTTGTAGTAGTCGGTGGTTCCTACATTTCTACAAAACTTTCTTCTTCTTGTACTGCTTCACATATTTCTTTCTTCAATCCCTTCAAACCAAGAATTTAAATTTTCTTCAATTATCTCCAATCCTCTTTCTGATAGATTTTGTAATCAATAGGCAAGGCAATAGGTAGATTATGTTCAGGATTTTTGGCGGGGGCGGAGGGTGCCGGATTATTGGATGTGTCAGTCTATTGAAGTGCCGGATTAGTGAGATTATACTATATCTAATTTCTTTAACTCCACTGATATGTTCCCATGCTAATTCTGAATGCTAATTCTACATACTAATTCTGAATAATATTATAAAATAACATAAACACACCCAATAAAAATATAGGGAAAGGAAATTAATAAACATGTATAACTCGAGAGCATTGCTTTTGTGTACTATACGCATTGCATTGAATCATTACACCAATACTGTATATAATATAACTGTTATTTATATTATGAAAACTACGCGTAGCGCAAAGTCACTTGCAAATAATATTATTTTAATACCACATTGACCAAATCAGTAAATTAATTCACTCTGCGATTTTATCAAAATATTAAATTATTATAAAATAAAATAAGAATGAAACACAAAGCATGTCGGAACAGATGTATTACCTTTAAATGATAAATGAAACATATGGAGGAGAGCATTACATATTGATTTCTGTAGAAGTGAATGTAATACCCAGTAAAAATCTGTGGCAACGGAATTGATATTTTTAAGTCAAGTAACCATATTTTAATTCATATGAGCATGGTTATTGGTAAATGATATATATAAATACAGATAATGTAATAAACCGGTACACGCTCATAAAATTTTGCCTTTCAACGCGTTAATTTTAAAAAGTTGCCTTAGGTACCCTAGTAAACAGTATTAACAGAACCTGATTTATATTAACAATATAAAAACGAATGCTAACCATTGTTAAACAGAATACCGGCTTTGATACAGATATAGAAATCTACGAATACGAATTGATCACTAGATAACCGCAATGATCAATAGACATTATTCAAATACTCACCACAATAAACTCGTGTCTATCCAACATTCCATCTTTGTCCTGATCAGCAAGGTCCCAAATTTTTCCAAGAGTCTCTAAAGGTAGTTTTGATTCCATCAAGACGCCTTTAACCTAAAATTGACAAAGAAAAAGTCACTTATTAAATTAGCTTTTGTAAAGAATAAAAAGATGGACGATTTTATGAAGGAAACATAATTTATACCTACATATAAAATAAAATTGAAATGACGGTCTGCAATATTGAAATCAATATCATTATTACAGCCCTTCACAATCCACTACTGAACAAAGGTCTCCCCAAGGTATGCCACAAGGCAGGGTCCTGAGCCACATGCATCCATCGACTTCCTGCACGTCTTGCCAGGTCGTCACTGCATCTAGTGGGGAAACGCCCTACACTTCGCTCGCCGGTAGGAGTCTGTCGGTTGTCGGTTCTTCAAATTATATGGCCAACCCATTGTCACTTCAGCTAACTAATCCATTGGACTATGTCGGTCACTGTGGTTCTACTGCGGATATCCTGATTCCTAAGCTTATCACGCAGTGAAACCCCAAGCCTAGCCTTCTCCATAGCTCGCTGAGCGACTTTGAGCTTCCTCATACGGCCAACAGTGAAGGACCACGTCCCAGATCCATAGGTAATCACTGGCAAAACGCACTGGTTGTACAACTTAGTTTTCAGGTTTTGAGGTATATCTGACGAGAAAATGTGTCGTAATCTCCCGGACGCTGCCCAGCCGAGTTGTATCCGTCGATTGACCTCTCGGTCGAAGTTGGACTTACCTAGTCGGACTATTTGTCCCAGGCCAACATATTCGTCAACAACTTCGAGTTTAGTGCTCCTAACAACTACCGGCATAGGTGTAACATTTAAATTACTCACGACTTTTGTTTAGTCCATATTCATCTTAAGATCTATCCGTTGGGAGACACTACGGACGTCATTGAGCATAGTACTTAGGTCTTCCAGCGATTCGGCCATTCAGACTTTATCATCGGCAAATCGAAGGTGAGTGATGTACTCGCCATTGACGTTAATACCGTATCCTTTCGAGTCCAGTAGCTTGAAAACGTCTTCCAATGCAGCGGAGAAGAGTTTCGGGGATATAACGTCACCCTGTCTTACACCTCTGCAGTTGGATAGATTTCATACTCTGGTTCTGTATTCGGATAACCATCGTAGCCCTACTGTACAAACACTTCAGCACTTCGATACACCGACAGTCAATTTGGCACCGCTGAAGGGACAGCAGCACCGCCCAAATTTCGACGGAAGCAAAATTTCTTATAGTCCACATACGCAAGACATAGTGGCAGATTGTACTTTTCGGACTTCTGTACAATTTGCCGAAGGGTTATGTATGTGGTCTATGGTGCTAAAGCCTTTTCGGAAACCGTCTTGTTCGGGAGGCTGGCAGTCGTCGAGTCTGCGTGCGAGACGTAATGACTCTCGAAAACTGCACGTAGACGCGGCTCAGAAGGCCTGTCGCCTTTATTGAAGAACAAGACCACCGCACTTGACACCACATGTGAATGCACGTGACAAACGAGCACACAACCCACCTGATGGTAAGTGGATGCTGTGATCCATAGACATCTAGATCTACCCTCAATCAAGAATCAAACATAACACGCATTGGAGCAATGCGGTGTACACTTACTTCCTAACTTTACTTTTTATGTTTTCATTTTGATAAACGGACAGATGGGCAGTCAACAAAGTTATCCTATTAGTAATTTTAGGCACGGAGCCCTGACAATAAAGACATTAACTTTTTTAAAGCAGAGATTTCTTCGAAATAACAGTAAATTATTTTTCTCACCTTAACATCCTACGAGTTCTAAAAAATTAGATTAATAAGACAAGTTTTATAAAAATCAAGGAAATTAGTTTAGAGAGTTTATACTCGTAAGCCCGCAGATTATACAGTTTTATAGCGTGGTTGATATAGATGGCATTGCTTACCTTGTTGCCGGGGATGAGGCCATTGTTGGGCTGCAGTGAATCAAACAACTGACTGTATTTCTCGCGCTCGGCCGGCTTGATGCTCCAATCGCCTGTTGAAGCCACGGGGGCACTGGGTGGTGGAACCTTGGGCAACTCGCCCTAGAAACAACATGAACATTAATGGTAAGAGAAAACATTTTCAAAATTATCTTAAGAACTTACGAATTTATTTAAACAAGATTTGGACAGACTCTACGAGAACTTTTCAAGGAGACCAATATTTTGACACTTTAATTGCTGTTAGCGGTGTAAAAACATTCACTAGCTCATGGCATCCTGTGAGTGTCGTAGGAGACGACTGAAGTTAACTAGGAGATGGGCATCTTTTTATTAAGAAACTGCAGCAGCCAAACCAAGCCCAGCCAAGCGTGGCAAATATAGCGAAATTCTCCCCATGAGGCAATCTATGGGGGAGACCTATGTTCAGCTGTTGACTTTTGATAGGCCATACACCTATCCATTACAGCCTATAAAACTTGAGCATAGGCCTTCCAATAGATTGCCTCATAGTTGCCATGTCCACCTCATTCTTCGCCACTTACGACACGCATGGGCCGAAATAGGGTAGTAGATATTCTTACATCGCCACTACAGTAACGCTAATATAATTAATTAATATATTTCTAGGTTCTGGGCTTTTTTATGGCATAGGGGTGGCAAAACGAGCACACAGTCTAGCTGATGGTAAGTGGTTGCTGTGGCATCTACATTTATTCTTGATAACGAATCAATATGCAGATGCGTTGTCGCCCGTGAGGACTGAATGCCTCGCTTCAAGTAAAGTGTCTCTGGTTCTTCACACTCAACAAACGAAACACAGCAGCCTTGAGCTGTTATTTGACGCCGGTGTTCTGTGAGAGCGTGTTCCATCCCCGGTCGAGCTACAACTATACCAGTAATATAGCCGCAGCATGGCTCTACCACATAAAATTTAACTGAGATTCAGTCTACTTACGACTTTCGGCGGCGGCGCCTCGCTATGTATATTACTCATGTTGATATCCTTGCCTGCTTGCGCGAGGGCCACCAGTTTGAGAGCCACAAAAAGCCCTGCCTGAAACAACATAATTTAGTTAGATAAAGACTATTTACACCACAATACTTAATAATAAATATATATTATAAACTTAATAAATATATATTTCAGATATATTTTTTTATAGAATAAGGGATGAATGCTGTGGGCCATAGACATCTACATTTAACCTCGATCAAGAATCAAAATGCAGATGCGTTGTCACTCCTGAGGACTAAGATAGACCGCCTCGATTCCAGCAAAAAGGGTCTCCGGTTCTCTACACTCACCATACGAAACACAGCAGCATTAAGCTGCTATTTTACGCTGGTGTTCTGTGAGAGCGTGGTCCTTCCCCAGCCAAGCCGACCTATTCGTGCTAAAACCATAACATAGCTGCAGCGTGGCTCTACCACGTAAAACCATGTAATTTGGTGGGGTTTTATCCCCTACCTCGTAAAGCACATAAGGCCTTTGTTCCTGTGTCTGGTTGCTCTCCGTTTGTGTCGGATTGCCGTTCCATCAGATCATCATAAAATCCTGTCCTGCGCACATGGTTAGTCTTCGTTAAGATTTGCCGTCATTGAGAGCATTATTTCAAAAATGTACCAACTATTAGACGGTTGTATTCCTTTTCTACTTAAGAGGCCCTATGGGTAAATACCACTCTCTCACCTATTTGAGCCGCCACTAAACAACAGGGCGTGCAGTGCTGTTATGTGTAGTCGTGGCAATTCTTTGAGTAAAAGCAAACAAGGTAGATGATGGTGTTATACAGAGGTTGCTCTGTGTCGCATCGTGATGGGCGGTGTTACTGTGATTTGCATATTGCATTTATTATGGTGTATAATACAGAGTATAATAATTACTTATAAAGTATTTTTTATAGAATAAGCGTGACAAACAAGCACACAGTTCACCTGATGGTAAGTGGATGCTGTGGCCCATAGACATTCACATTCATCCGGGATTAGGAATCAAAATGCAGATGCGTTGTCACCCCTAAGGTCTAAGATGAAATGCCTCGTTTCCAGTAAAAAAGGGTCCCGGATCTCCACACTCACCATACGTAACACAGCAATATTACGCTGCTATTTTACGTTGGTATTCTGTGAGAGCGAGATCCATCCCCGTTCGAGCCGACCCATTCGTTCTACAACCATAATATAGCTGCAGCGTGGCTCTACTACGTACAAATTACATGATTTTCAATTTTCAACTTCAACTCGTTACTGAGAAGTGTTCATTTATTTTAATATTTAAGAGTATTTACAATTTATAAAAATAATATTCTGACAAGTTGGTAATATCCTCCTTTTTTAGAAGTCGTTTAATAAAACTAATTTTTGGTATTTTATCGCATTTAAATTAATTTTTAAATTCGTTTAATTTCGTGACGCCTTCGATTCGATGACGTTTCAAGCGACTCTCTAGAATACCTTAATTTATAAAGCGGCTTTGTTACGCAACTAAAACCGGCCATTTGCAGTCAATCACATTAATATTGAAACGTAATACAATAAATTGAAAGTACGTCGGCGATTACGCGCGTGTACACGCTGGTTTGTATTTAACATTCCAGTTTTACAAAACACTTAACAGAAGTGTTATCAGACCGTTTGTTAAGGAAAATGAGATAACTTTTTTATTTGTTAAAAAAACACGCGAAACCCGAGTAGAATTTTCTCCCGTATCGTGGAGACGGTTCATGCAAAAATTACACAAGGACACATCCATACCAGGACAAATTATCTGTAGGTCATACAAACACCTCGTCCTTGAGGAATTCGAATCGCACGTCCAAACTACGCCACTGTGCTACGGAGCCATCATAAACCAAATGTCATAAATGGAAGAGACACGTTTAACCGTCCTGGCTGCAGCACGAATAGGTTGTGGCTCGACCGGGGAAGGACCACGCTCCTTAAAGACTACCAGCGTAAAATGGCAGCTTAATGCTGTGTTTCGTATAGTGAGTGTAGATAATCGGAAACACTTTTTGCTGGTAACAAGGCATAATGCATCCTCCATCTAATGCATAATCCTGCTGAGGAATCAAACCAGAACCAAACGTGGTTACCCAGAAGTGAGCACGCACCTTTTGATTCATAACCGAGGACATATGTAGATTTCTATGGGTATTCACTTACCATCAGGTGGACTGTTTGCTCGTTTTTCAACCTTAGAGTTAAAGTCTCAGCCTGTATACGTCAGACATCTGGATACAGACCTCGTCATTTTTTGAAAGGGTTATCAAGCAATTAGCTTCACTCCTCCACCAGTGCTTGTTGAGTGTTGGCGGGCTTCACCACCGAGCACGTGGGTAAACCAGTGACGGTGAGGATAAAACCCGGGTTATTTGCAATTTACGGCAAACACTCACCTCCTAAGCTACTCAGGTTACAAACACGGCACTAGCACACGTACTGTCAGTATATTTACACACAATCACAAACACAATAAACCTTAAACTTGACATTAAAGTAATATGCACTACGTACTAGAACAGAAAGTGCGAACAAAATGTGTGCGTCAGTGCAGGACGCGTGGTCGAAGGGCACAAAGTACCTTTTTATGGCACAAACTTAGAGTCAGATCAATCCTCGGCGTCTCTCCTAATACGTAGTACATATTTACTTCAATGAAACTTCCTACACGTCCTAATGATCATACCCGTCACAACCTACGTACAGTCACCAGAGCTGTCAGTACAGATGAAGCGTCGCGTCGCACTACGCCAAACACCCACTGATAACACTATCTCAGTTAATATGAACAACGGCGTCCGCACTGTTGCAGACTAATTTAATATTTACATAATTTAGCATAATGTTGAAAAAGGCAAGTTTTTTAAGTCAATTTAATTACGAGCCTTATATTTGAGATAGGGTAAAAAGGTTCTCGAACGGGGCCTCGTACTAGTGAGCAAAGTGAAGATGGAGTGACGCGACCTGGTAAAAGATGCAAGAAAGCGATGGATACAGGTGGCATAACACCGTGCTTTGTGTCAGACCTTGGGGAAGGCCTATGTTCAGTAGTAGCTCCAATGGCTGTAATGATGAAAAATTTTATATTTATGATAGGGTAAAAACTTAATATTGTATGTAATAATGGGAAGAATCGATGGAGAGTTCACACCAACACATCGACACAACTTGGACTCGGTAAAACTAATTCTGCCAGTCTCGGGTACAGGCACAGAGTTGCACGCCTCCAGATTTTTTTATAAAATAAGGGAGACAAACGAGCACACAGTCAATCTGCTTGTAAGTGGATGCTGTGGCCCATAGACATCTACATTTATCCTCGAGTAAGAATCAAAACGCAGGTGCGTTGTCACCCCTGAGGACTAAGATGCCACGTTTCCAGTAAAAAAGGGTCTCCGGATCTCTACACTCACCATAAAACAAAGCAGTAGTAAGCTGCTATTTAACGCAGGTATTCTGTGAGAGCGTGGTCCTTCCCCGCTCGAGCCGACCCATTCGTGCTACAACCATAATATAGCTGCAGTGAGGCTCTACCACGTATAAAGCGGTTGGATTTCTCATCTATCAAAACAATCAGTCGTATGATAACTACGATTAATAGGTTCTATTTTCTATCCAACTACGTGCGCATAGTACTAGCTTGTATCAAGCCAGTAAGGTACGTCGTAGTAAGTTCGTATTAGGTGAAAGATCGATAAATAATAAATATGTTACTTATTCTCAACATTACTATTGATGTTCTTCCCTACAGACTCTCTGCTGCTCCGATAAGTTCGATGTATGTTATGGACCTAAAAGGAAAACATCTCGTTTCCTTGGATTTTTCTAACATACGGCCTTACCCCTGGCAACTTAAGTTTAATTTAAAAAAGTGAGTTTCATTGTCTTTTGTTTGTTCCTATTTTATTTTTTCATTTTTTTGGTACTGGTTGCTTAATGTTGTTATTTTAATAGTTTTAATACGATTCTAGGCTCAGGTCTTTTCTCTCATTGGTTAAAATCAGTCATACCTTCCGATCTTTTCTAGCTCAAAAATTGGAATTGGTTCTCGAACTTAAAAGCAACATTCAAGACATTTTCTTTTATTTGAAATTTTGTTATTATTTTAAAATACGGTCCTAGCCTAAGGATTTCCCGTTCACCTCATGGTGAATATCGGTCAAAAACTTTCCGATCCTTTTGATTTCAATAGAAGTGCTTCTCAAAATTAAAAAAATAAATATTCAGGTAACAATTTGTTTAGAATGATTTCATGATTACATATCGTCTTGCAGATGTAAACTTTGCTAGCTACTAATGCTAAAATAGGCTAGCAAATAAAGTTACTACGCTATAATTGGTTGTATATATATAGTTTAAAGATAAGACTGATGAGATCTACAAGTATCACAACGAGCGTTGACATGGGTACGAACAGCGAATCATATTTAATAGAATCACTTAGCGATATTATTTCTGACTCGGACATTTAATGAACTCTATTCTTATTTCACGGTGATATTCCGTGATGTTTTTTTTTTTATAGAATAAGGGTGTCAAACGAGCACACAGTCCATCAAATGGTAAGTGGATGCTGTGGTCCATAGACATCTACATTTATCCACGATTAAGAATCAAAATGCAGACGCGTTGTCACCCCTGAGGACTAACATGTAATGCCTTGTTTCCAGTAAAAAGGGCCTCCGGTTCTCTACACTCACCTTACGAAACACAGCATCATTGAGCTACTGCTACTGCTATTTTACGCTGGTATTTATTAATAGCGTGGTCTTAGCTCGCGCGAGCCATTCATGTTTCAACTACAATAGCTGCAACGTGACTATAGCACGTATAATAAATGATGAGTTTTGCTGGGTTAAACCTTAGGTACGGTGGACTTAACCGTTACTGTAAACGTCTCTACTGGTCTAGTGGTGGTAAACGCGGTTGCTAATCATGATGGTCACGGGTTCGAATCCCAAAGTGAGGCCAAAATCAATTATTGGGTTTTTCTGCGAAGAAATTTACAGTAGCAGCCCGGAGTTAGGAAGTTGGCAGTGTTTTACGCCTGTGCTTTAGAAAGCTAAGTGCTTTCCGACGCAGGTTCTGCGCGTGATCTGTCTCCGATCGTGTCGGATTTCCATCCCATCGGACCATGAGAGTGAGGGAACAGACAATGCATCTGTGCTTGCACATACAACTGGGGCACTATAAACTTGTTCTTTTTTTATAGAGAAGGGCGACAAACGAACACACAGTCCACCTGATGGTAAGTGGATGTTGTGGCCCATAGACATTTACGTTTATCCTCGATTAAGAATCAAAACGCAGATGCGTTGTCATCCCTGGGGACTAAGAAGAAATTCCTCGTTTCCAGTAAAAAAGGGTCTCCGGATATCTACACTCACCATACGAAACACAGCAGTATTAAGCTGCTATTTTACGCTCGTATTCTGTGAGAGCGTGATCCATTCCAGGTCGAGCCGACCCATTCGTGTTATAACCATAATATAGCTGCAGCGTGGCTCTACCACATATAAAAATGTTCTGCTTAGATAGCTCTATTGAGACTGACCGCTGTGGCGGAAATTCGGTCTAGAAGACATCACGGTGTACCTTTACGAAACGTGTTAAAGTTATAGTACCACCACTTTGACCTCACCTTGTCAAGGTACCCCTTTCCATTGGGGTCGGAGAGGTCCCATATCTTGCTGAGCACCACATCGCTGAGCCGCGACTTCTTTAGGAACCGCGCCGCGTCCAACGCCTGGATAGCTCCGGTGCCGTTTGGGTCAACCTGCAATAAATAAACCACGTTTTGAGTAAATCTGCTAATCGTGAAAGATATTAAGTATATTTGTTAATCGTGAAAGATATTGAGTAAATCTGTAAATCGTGAAAGATATTGAGTAAATCTGTTAATCGTGAAAGATATTGAGTAAATCTTTTAATCGTGAAAGATATTGAGTAAATCTGTTAATCGTGAAAGATTATTGAGTAAATCTGTTAATCGTGAAAAATATTGAGTAAAACTGTTAATCGTGAAATACATTGAGTAGAACTGTTTATCGTGAAAGATATTGAGTAAATCTATTAATCGTGAAAGGTATTGAGTAAAAATTTTAATTGTGAAAGATATTGAGTAAATCGTGAAAGATAGTACCTACGTGGTAGGAAATAGAAATGGATTTTTTATTCAATATAGATTACCACTGGACGAACCAGTAAGAAACCCAGCGGGACGAAATTCGAAAAAGTTTAAAGACTTTTTCTTGAAGACGCTTGTCTGAAGAAAAAACAGAACACAGAAATGACTGGAATATTATCTACGACCTTTACCATCTTGGCATGACTAAGAGTAACTTGGGTTAATCACTATGAACTTGAGTTATAGTAGGAGTCCATACAATGGAATAAAAAAGGCGCAGCACCGCCTAAGAAGTTCAAGGTATCACAATCGTCTGGTAAGATTATGGCTTCAGTTTTCTGTGATTCAGAGAGGATTTTATTGATCGGGTATATGTCAATATCACAAAACAGTAATAAGCTACGCTGCTAGAAAAATTGCAAGTGCTAAAATTAAAAATTTTGTACAACCGATTTCAATACGAACGAATCAAAAAAAACTACTGGTCAGACTTGAATTCATATAACGACCAAGGAACGACCAAGGCCAAAAAAGAAAAAAAAAAAAAAAACAGAGACGAAATTCGTCCAAATTTGGCCTCTTCGGATTAATATTTGTTCCCAAATATTAAATAATAAATTTTATACGTGGTAGAGCCACGCTGCAGCTATATTATGGTTGTAGCACTAATGGGTCGGCTCGACCGGGGAAGGACCACGCTCTCACAGAATACCAGCGTAAAATAGCAGCTTAATGCTGCTGTGTTTCGTATGGTGAGTGTAGAGATGCGGAGACCCTTTTTTACTGGAAACGAGGCACTCCATTTTAGCCCTCAGGGGTGACAACGCATCTACATTTTATTTCTTAATCGAGGATAAATGTAGATGTCTATGGGCCACAGCATCCACTTACCATCAGGTGGACTGTGTGCGCGTATGTCACCCTTATTCTATTTTAAAAAAATGGCTTTTGTGGCGGACATTGGTTTTTCACCTCCCCTGGTAGCATGGTAGCCATCATCCTTTTACCTATTTCTGTTGTCAGATAACAAACAATACTTGCACTGCCGTGTTCCGGTCTATAGGCAAAGGCGGAGACAGAGGCAGAGTCAGAGGTCTAGAGTCAGTATAACAGACTGTGAGGCATTCCGTCTTAGTCCCCAGGGGTGACAACGCATCCGAAGCCTTCTTTATTTAAATTGGCTGCCAGTGTCCATAGACTGCAACAGCCATTAACCTTCAGGTGAACTATAAATTCGATTGTCACTTTATAAAAAAGAGTAGGTTCTTGAGCATTGAATTACTTACCACCAAAATACCTTTATAATATTATATCTGTAGGTTTCTTTCTGTTTGAGTTGTAAGCAGACGAAGTCGCTGGTAAAAGGTAGTATAAAATAAGTATTTTTTCATGATTTAGTATGAATAATAACTTAGACCTCAATAGATGCGGTTAGTTATAAAATGGCCGACATACACTTGACCGATTTTTGAAAGGACCTTCAATTCTAAAGAGCGTTTTCAACTTACGACAGATTTTAGCAGCGTTGTGAGATGTAATATAATTATACGTTTTTTTTTAAATATAGAATAAGGGTGACAAACGCGCACACAGATCACCTGATGGTATTTGTATGCTGTAGCTCACAGGCATTATTTATGTCTATCCTCGATTAAAAGTCAAAACGCAGGTGTGTTGTTACCCATTTTTTTTATAGAATAGGGTGACAAACGAGCACACAGTCCACCTGATGGTAAGTGGTTGCTGCGGCCCATAGACATCTACATCTATCCTCCATTAAAAATCAAAATGCAGATGCGATGTCACCCGTGAGGACTGAGATGGAATGCCTCGTTTCCAGTAAAAAGGGTCTCCGGTTCTCTACACTCACCATACGAAATACAGCAGCATTAAGATACTATTTCACGCTGGTATTCTGTGAGAGCGTGGTCCTTCCCCGGTCGAACCGACCCATTCGTGCTACAACTATACAACTAATATAACTGCAGCATGGCTCTACCACGTATAAATGATGACTAAGTTGACTAAGATGAGAACAAAGATGGAATGCCTCCTTTCCAGTAAAAGGATTTCCAGTTGTAAGTGGATGCTGTGACTCATAGAAATCCACATTTATCCTCGATTAGGAATTAAATTGCAGATGCATTTCCATTAAAAAAGGGTCTCCGGATCTCTACACTCACTCGCGAAACACAGCAGCGTTAAACTGCTATTTCATGCTGGTATTCTGTGAGAGCGTGGTCCTTCCCCATGTTAGCCTACTCATTCATGCTGTAACTATAAAATGGCTAGCTGCCATATAGGTACCACGTAAATTACTTATTTATCAAAATAATTCATGATCAATAAGGATCCCTATTATAATAATATCGCTTGGTGATCGGTGAATGGGCCGTATAGTTCGAGGAACCGAAAACCAATGGGAAAGAAATGTTTTTGAATGGTAGCCTCGAAGAGTAGGGTGGTCACTCCACTAGGTAGAACGAAGACTAATAAAAGGTCCAGGAAGTTGATAGATGCAGGTGATTCAGAACCGTGCTTTGTGACTACGTTTCATCAAGAGTTTTGTCACTTATCATGTAACCGCGTCAATATATCCAAAGCCTTAAATGATAAATCCATATTGGAAACTATCGATGCTTTCGTACGACACAAATGTCGCTGTGGGCCGCAGGTTTGAACGCCACTAGTGGTGGTTCGTTGTCGAATTTTTGACGGACGAAACGCAACAGTTTTTCCGACGACGAAAACGGTTGCAGAAAGCGGGTATCGTTGCAACTGGTTTGAAGACGGCTTAAAGGACGAAACTTATCCAACATGGAATAGAATTGCGTTTTCGTCGAGTGAAATGGTTGCAGTTTCTTACAACTATCAACGATTTGAAATGTATGAAATGATTTACTAAATAACTCGTTTTATCGATCGACTTTACTTAACGATGGAATTGACTTTCCTTCATACTTTTCCAGGCTAGGCTAGCCAGTCCTAGGCTGGAACAGACTTAGCATTACCATTAACATTAACGGCTGTATTTTGTTGACTAAAAGTTCACTTTTTATTGTAAAGACTGTTTAATCTCTGTCTACGTTTGTAAACAAACGCGAAACCAAAGACTTCAATATAACGCGGAACTTTAATGACGAGCAAGATAGATATAAAATAAAAAAAATTGCACCAAGTAATTCGAAGACTGGTTTGTGCAACGGACTGTTTGAACCCAGGACGTAAAACGGTTTCATAACACCCACCCCTAAACGTCACACCGAGTTATTAGTAATTGTTTGACATATAAATTCTTGTTTGCACTCGTAGTCTGAATTTTCTCAACTTTCTACATGTATGCCAAACGCTTACTTGATACAAGAGATAGCTATTGTAGTTCATGGGCTAAGCGCTCGCTGTATGTCACAATACGCGGGCAAACCGGGTTCGATCCCCACCGGCAAGTGACCACGAAACTGCCCTTCACTCGATATGTCAACGCCGAGGACTCCAATACTGGCTGAGACAACAAGGGAGTGCCTTGAAACTGAGGAGATGCGACAAAGGGGTTCTTTTTCGCGGCAAACGCGCAACCTTGTGTCTTCTGAGGATTAAACTGAACTAGATTTAGTAGCCCCAAAACGAGATTTTGTTCAGCAAAGACTCGACTTCAAAACCAAAGTTTGTCCCGGTACTCGGCGAGGTTTTCCTGAGAAATATTGGCACGGCCGGTGTATTGAGCATCACCAGTGCTGTCATTCGCATAGCAATGAATGTTACCGGTTTGTAACACATCATTGATATGCAGAAGAAACAACATTGGTGATACTGTGTGGCATTGTGGAACGCCAGCATTAATAGGCTTGTAATCGGAGCATACACCCTCTACTACGACCTTGATGCTCCGATCTGCAAGAAAGCTGTTGATCCAATTACACAATTTTTCGGGAAGCCCATAGAAAGGGAGCTACGAAAGAAGCGCTTTGTGCCAAACCCGATCGGAGGTCTTCGCAATGTTTAAACTAACGGCCATTGCCTCCCCTTGGACTCTACTGCCTCCACCTATCTATGAGTCAGGTAGACCAGAAGATCACCAGCTTAATTGACCCGTCGTGTATATAACGAAATAACACTAACTGACTGACTCAACACGATTTCTCTAAAACTATACACCCAATTAACTTGAAATGTAGTATATTCATTTCGCAATTTAGACGGTCACTAAGAACGGATTTTACGAGTTAAAAAAATCACGATATTTTACATCCGTGCGCCCAGCGAAGCGAGCGGGTACCAGCTAGTTACTTATAATATACTAGAGTAAAAAATATTTTATTATTTTCTATTCTATCCTACAACAGCAACGAAGCGGAATCAACACTGTCGAGAGAGTAAAGGATGTGCTCCGGGGCACCTTCAAGTACACTTTAAGAGAGAAAGGATGCTCTTCAACGAGTAGCAATTTACATGTAATTTTCATATTCCATAGCAACAAAAGTCCACTGCTTAGGCTTGGGTAAAAAATATCGATATATCGAAATATCGACATTCGATATTTATTTTAGAGTATAGTATTCGTATCAGTTTCGACATACATATTTTAAAACGATATACACATTTATAATTATGTTGTTATATTTATTGTATATAAAAATAAAAAAGCATTC